CAAGGAGACCTTCATAGAAACCTCATTTTAATTCACAGCCACTTTTCTTAAAATGGATCAGGGGACCTCTGGCCAGCCCATTGCACAACCCATGATGAGCATCTGGAGGAGGAGAGCAGCAGTTTCAGTCCGCCTTCTGTATTAATGAGAAGGAGCAACTTAGCTGTTTTGTGAGTGAAAGGTGTTTTTTTTGGGGGGGGCAGACTGTGAACCGCAAGCAAACTTGAACTAGGGAAGAAAAAGAATTTGCCAAGGAACAATCACTGGAAACCAAAACGGTAGCAAAAAAGTGCCAGCTTTTGTAATGTTTCATATCTTTTTACACTGGAGAAATTGGGAGACAAGGACGATGGTCCCTTTCTTTTCATCTTTGCTTTTATCTTTTATTTTCATGTATTGTTTTTGAAGAGTTTGTTTGGTTTTTTTATTATTATTATTTTTATAATGATCTTTTTGGCTGCTGCTTTACAGCGTTGTGTGTCAGTGTGGAAATTCCTAGTCAGGGACAGAGCTTGAAACCGAACTGTGAGATGACCTTGCTGCTTGGAGCTAAAGCGGGACAGAAACCAGAACACTCAAGTCCTGCCTGCCGTATGTCTCTGATGTACTGTTTGATTACACTAATGTGCAACCTGTAAGGGCTTTTTAACGGAGAATCCTTTTCGGATCAGATTACAGAAGAGAAATGTAATCTGCATTCCAGCTGGATTGATTTCTCTCGCCTGCACCCAATCAAACGTGATCAAGAGCTGTCAAAGTATTTCCTTGTGTGTTTACACTCGCTTTAGTCACTGCTGGGGATCTGAGGAGAGCAAGTTGTGCTCTTGAAAACTTGAGGAAACCATGCCATGTTTTGCAAGTGTTTACGCTGAAGACCAATTGGCAAGAAAGGCTCTCAGCCCATCTCTAAAAGACATTCTGCAGATTGAACAGCCACCTCACTGAGAATCACCACTAGCCCACAAGACACATCAGCCGTTTGTCTGTCCTGATTCAGATGGACCTTATATTGGGGGGACAGCAGGCCTGGACTTTATTGATGCTGCTATTTTCATCATGAAAATTAAGCTTGGTTCTTGAACTGACATGACTTTTATCCCTGGTGCAGTTAACACAAGAGACGAGGCTTACGGGGTTCCAGCCACCAAGGAATAAAGCTCGCCCTTGGTTTTGTGATTTCTTTGGAACAGACCCGTGCCAGCTGTAATTCCATCCTTACCCCACACCCTTCTCGCCTCTGCCTGGTGCTAGGAAGTGGCAACGGACTTCTTGTTTTCAGCTCTCTTGGCTACAGCACAAAAAAGAAAGAGGATTTCTCTCCCCCCCCCCAACTCAACCTGGTTCTTTGCTCCCTGTTGCCGAGGGATTTGGGCCCCTTGACTTATGAGCATGGATGTCTTTGGGGACGTCCACATCCATTTGGTATAAACCTGCATGCACGCACACTGGGAAAAAAGACCAAAGATTATGCAGCCCTGTTAGCACAAATCTTTGGGACAATCTTGTGAACAAATGCCAACAAGTCCAAAGGCCGTGCCAGGCGGACACAGGTGAGTGTGGGTACTGCCCCTGTTCATTTCACTGTCTGGTGAAATAGAGACCTTCCTTGTGGTTGCAGTCAAAACTGGGCAAGAGTCCATTTGCCAGTGTCGGCATTCAAAGTGCTTTGGGCCTTAGGCAGCGAAAGTTGACACCTCTTTAGTCTAGTCATTCAGTAAAAGCGGTTGGGAGGCGCATCTCCCTGGAACGTTTGAGGTCTCCACCAGCAGGGTTTTGCTCTTTCTTGATCTTTTTGCCCCCCCCCGACACCACTTGGGATCTTTGTGGGGGGACAGCACCCTCCCTGCAAAACAATGTCTCTTCAGGGACTTTTTCAGAATTCAGAGGAACAAAGAGATGAGCCACACCCGCTAGCTAGAACTTGGAAATGTTATTTTCTTTTTCAACGACAGCTCCCTGTTGGTTCTCAAGCTAAAGTTCAAAAACAAAAGCGCCTTGTCCAAAGTTGTGCTGCTACCTCCATCCTCTTTTCAACCCACTTCTTTGCTTCTTCCCTTTTTTGTTTGCCTCGGGCATCATCTCTCCCACCAGGACCAAAACAGGTTCTCACCATTGACTCCTTGCTCCTCTTCCAAAGGAAGATCTTTTGAGAACCACTGGCTTAACGGTGAGACTCAGGGACAAGCTAGGTCTTCTTTTCCCTGGTGGGGAACGTTATGCCAGTCCTCTGAATAAAAATACCTCAGAAGACCATTGCTGCAGGAGGTCTACCTGCAGGAGGCTTTAGCAATCCTGGTCTGTGTTTGGAAGGGTTCGGCTGTGCCTGCAGATGAGGGGCGTTCCTGTCCCCTTTGAGGACAGTGCTGGTAGAAATCTTGCGTTGCTTACATCCGGCTTCTCTCTCTTTTCCAACCCCTGCGTTCTAGACCAAAGCAGCCGATGTGCTGTTTTTAGTCCTAAATGCAAATTTTCTGTTTTTCTCTCCCTGTGTGTTTTTTAAAAAGCATGAACATTTTTAAAAACTTAAAGGAGAATGGGTTTTGAATAGCAAAGTAACAAAGGCAACAAGACTTCCTTCTTGCCATTTAACTTGCACAAGACGTAGCAAGCAATAGCTGAGATACAGAATCTTATCTTTCTACTGCATTTTAATGATGCATTTCAGAAATGTCATGAAGAGGTTGAAAAGGCTTTCTCCTCTTGGTGCTATTTTTTAAGACTTTTTAATGTCAATATTGTTTGGTTTTATATAACTTTTTAAAATGACAGACTTTATCTTTTCTCTCTTTTTTTTGTTTCCATGTTTTATGTGCTTCATGTTTCAGAAGCTCAATACCAAAGCAATAAAAAACACACACACAAAAACGTAACTGAGCCTTTGGAGAGATTAAAAAACGAAAACTGGAAATGAAAGGGATTTGTTTCCACTAAGTTTACTTTCAACATTTATAACGGTTTAATTAAAGTCAGTGTTCTTCTATATAACTGAGTGCCTTCTTGTTCTTTCTTTGTTCTGCCCCTTAATCTCTATGATCCATAGGAGTCCTTTCCAGCCCTGCAATTCTAAGATAAGAACGGGTGTGTTTCATTTCTCCAGCTGGAGTTGAGGGGGGGCAACATGGTCGCTGTTTGCATGTGTTGTGTTTTGTGTTGTCAAGTCGGAACTGGTTTATGGCGACCCTAATAGGGTTTTCAAGGTTAAGTGAGATATTTAAGAAGTGGTTCTCTTCCCCACCCCCACCCCAGTTTCCATGGCCAAGTGGGGATTTGAACCCTGTTCTCCAGAGTCCAGGTTCATCATTCGGTTCACAATACTGCACAGGGAATCCTGTTTACCTGACATGGTAGCACTTTACTTGACATGTTTACTTGCGAGTGTGGCCGCGAGGCCTAAAATCAGCCCTGGTGTAAGATCTGGAGATGCCACCAGGTCACTGAAATGAAGCAGGAGGGATCACATTTGAAAGGTGCTTTGCAACATTTTCCAAGGTTGGGTAGGGAGTTGATAACTCAAAAGAAGTGCCCTCTGAAGATAGGTTGCAATGTTTGAGGCTGCTTAGCTTGCAAAAAGATAATAAAATTTTCTCTTTCATGCATGCACTCAGCAGCTGTTTCTCCAGTCCCCTCCTGGCGTAGGCTTAATGCCTCTTCCACCACGTCGTCCCCCCCCCCAGGTCAGCTTTGCAGGATCACCCAGAGGTTTTACAGGGTGGCGTTGGAGGCTGTCCTGCTGCCTCCAACCCACGTCTGCGCATAGATCCTGCACGAAGCCAAGGGCCACGTTTGAGAACTCTTGGGCCTATGGGCTAAATGTGAGAATGATCACCTGCAGGTTTGGCTTGCCATGGGCATTGGAAGGAATTCTATAAACACAGAAACCGGTGATACCTTTATTAGGCTGTTAAGAAAATAAAAGCAAATATATATGAATAAATAAAGTGAGCTTTCCATGATAATTCATCTTCCTCAGGCTGTATGTACATCAACTTCTCATGGGTAGTTCCCAAATTATAAGTTCCAATGTCTCATGGCCAATGTTTCTTAAATGGAAAGGATTGCAGTTGGCAAGATGCTTGGCTGCAGGGGAAGGAATGATAAGATTCTGTTTCCTTTTTTTCCTCTTACACAGAAGAAAGGGACAGGGATTGGGACCTGCTTCTCCAGAGGAGCTTTTTCCTGCTCCCTGGGGGGGGGGGTGACAGCTGGCTGCTGGTCTCTTCCAGATCTGAGTTGGGAAGACTCCTCCTTGGAAGGCCATCCACGCCAGCATCTGCTCCTCTGTCCTTTCCCTAGGATTGCTGCCACTGAACATTACACTGCAGTGGTGTGAGGCCTTGTGGGGCCATCTTGGGTGGGGCTGGCTGGCTGGCTCACCCCCTTGAGTCCTAGGATTGCTGCCACTGAACATTACACTGCAGTGGTGTGAGGCCTTGTGGGGCCATCTTGGGTGGGGCTGGCTGGCTGGCTGGCTCACCCCCTTGAGCGCTTTCTGAGCGCCATCCAAAGCTCAGCCACTGAAAGCTTTCCCTGTTCCTTCTCTCCTTGGAACAGACACTGCTGCGGATACCAGGGCTTGAAAGCGCTCCGTGAACCTGCCTGGCTACACAGGTGTGTCTCTCTCAGCTTTTGCTGTAGCACAAATGCCATGGAAAGAGAACTGGAAAACCACCTGCATTGAAAAAAAAAACACATGCATAATTTTATTTTTTGGGTACCCGAGCTCATTTAGGAAACTGAGCCACAGAGCCAGTAAACTCACTGGGGAATGAAGATGCAAACACCCAACCTTTTAAATCCAACTCCAGCAACACAAAAAGATCATACTGTACTTAAAAAAAATATCCTCCAGTTCTGCCCCTCCTGGGCATTTTGATAACCAGAAAGGCAGCTGCAGGAGCAGGTGATACCTTTATTGGACCATGAAGGGAAGAAAAAAAAACAGCCAGCTTTCGGAGGGGATTTGTCTTCCTCAGGTGGTGCACCAAGTTTATTTATTTATTTTATTTGATCGATTTATATCCCACCCATCTGGTATATTCTACCACTCTGGGCAGCTATGGTTTTCACAGGTAGCACCAAAACTGTATGTTTCAATTAAAAATCCCAAAGTTTCTTAATAATAAAGGTATTGCCTGTTCCTGCATCTGTATTGTTTTGAGGACCAGAGGGCCTTATCCTGATTTTTTTCAGAAAAGCAGAGAAATTGTCAGACTTCAGGGAAATGTGATTTTTTTAAAAAAATGTGGTTTTGACAGCGTATTGTCGGAGGGCTGTGGGAGGAGGGGATCCAGGTTCAAATCCTGATTCCGCCAACCTAGCCCATCCTTTCCACCTGGACGACCTTGCAGGAGACATGGTTCAGAACATGTTCCCCTCCCAAAATTCCTCCTGTCACTCTTTGGGGGCTTCTCATGGCCGTGGCCACCCCTTACAAGTGTGGGCTTGTGAGTTTTCTGGTTTATGTGGTGATTTTATGACTTTGCTGTGATTTTTGTGCTTCACGGCTTCACACGGCCGAGTTTAAAGCCCTCACGGGGGGCGTGTAAGCACTCACACTGGCCAGCATTACCCTCTGAGGGACGTCTGAAAAAGCCGGTTTTCCACACAGGTTTTTGTTGGATGGGAGAGGGAGAGGGGGGCGTGTCCAATGCTGAGTGACGCGGGAGAGGGGAAGAAAGAGTCGAGCCCGCCTTCCGCGCGTGCCGCCCCCTTCCCGGAGATTTCATCGTCTCATAGGCGAACCCCAAGAATCAATCAGGCCGGGAGGCGGGGCAGCGAGGTCGGCCCATCGCAACGGTTAGGAAGAGGAGAGGGAGAGGGACCCTAGCAACGCTCTCCCTCCTCCCCTCAAGTTCCTTCGCCGGCCGCAGAGGCTCCTGGGGTTGCGGGCGGGACAGGGCGTGGCCTCGGCGCCTCTTCGTGACGCTCCTTCCTCTTCCGCCCTCCTTCAAAGGGACGTCACCGCGCAGGGCGGCGCGTGACGACAGATCCCGGGCGAGGCGGGCGGGGCCGGTTT